ACCAAATGTGTACAATATCAGGGTCAGGAAAGCGGGAGGCAGGATACATGAGGGGCTTGCCTAGTGGGTCAGATGGTAAAGAATCCGCCCCCAATGCAGGATGAATCCCTGTATGGGGAAGACCACTTGGAGAAGGGAATGGCTACCCACTCCAGTATTCCTGCATGGAGAATTCCATGAACAGAAGAGCCTGGTGGGCTACAGTTCAGGCGGTCGTGAAGAGTTGGACACGACTGAGTGACTAACACTTTCACTTTCTCAGAATAAATGAGTCAAGGTCTAGGAAACCTAGAATTCAGCAACATTTCAGGGCACACCAGAATCTCTACTGTGGAACTAGGGAGAACGCCACCCAGAGAACAAGAAAGACAGGTGGGGACACAGACTCTCTACAAATGTGTGTGAGAGTGGGCCCAGAAAAGACATGGGCACGTCACTGGTCTAACACAAAGAGAGATAGGCCCTTGGGTTTTCACTCACCTTCAGGCCTCTCATTGGCCTAAATGGTGGTAGGCAGATCTGGAATTCAGTGCAGTTCAGTTGCTCAGTCGTGTCCGACTCTGCGACCCCATGGACTGCAACACTCCAGGCTTTCCTGTCCATCACCAACTCCCAGAACTTGCTCAAACTCATGTACATCGAGTCAGTGATGCCATCCAACCATTTCATCCTCTGTCGTCCCCTTCTCCTCCCACCTTCAATCTTTCCCAGCATCATAGTCTTTTCTAGTGAGTCAGTTCTTCGCATCAGGTAGCCAAAGTACTGGAGTTTCAGCTTCAGCATCAGGCCTTCCAATGAACACTCAGGGCTGATCTCCTTTAGGATGGACTGGTTGCATCTCATTGCAGTCCAAGGGACTCTCAAGAGTCTTCTCCAACACTGCAGTTCAAAAGCATCCATTCTTTGGCGCTCAGATTTCTTTATAATCCAACTGTCACATCCATATATGACTACTGGAAAAACCACAGCTTTGACTAGATGGAACTTTGTTGGCAAAGTAATAATGTCTCTGCTTTATCACATGCTATCTAGATTGATCATAGCTTTTCTTCCAAGGAGCAAGTGTCTTTTCATTTCATGCTGGCAGCCACCATCTACAGTGATTTTGGAGCCCAAAAAATAAAGCCTCTCACTGTTTCCATTGTTTCCCCATCTATTTTCGATGAAGTGATTGGACCAGATGCCATGATCTTAGTTTTCTGAATGCTGCATTTTAAGCCAACTTTTCCACTCTCCTCTTTCACTTTCATCAGGAGGCTCTTCAGTTCTTCGAAGCCTGGCTTGGGGAATTTTGAGCATTACTTTGCTAGCATGTGAGATGAGTGCAATTGTGCAGTAGTTTGAACATTCTTTGGCGTTTCCTTTCTTTGGGATTGGAATGAAAACTGACCTTTTCCAGTCCTGTGGCCACTGCTGAGTTTTCCAAATTTGCTGGCATACTGAGTGCAGCACTTTCACAGCATCATCTTTTAGGACTTGAAATAGCTCAACTGAAATTCCGTCACCTCCACTAGCTTTGTTCATAGTGATACTTCCTAAGGCCCACTTAACTTTGCACTCCAGGATGTCTGGATCTAGGTGAGTGATCACACCATCATGGTTATCTGGGTCATGAAGATCTTTTTTGTATAGTTCTTCTGTGTATTTTTGCCACCTCTTCTTAATATCTTCTGCTTCTGTTAGGTCCATCCCATTTCTGTCCTTTATTGTGCCCATCTTTGTATGAAATGTTCCCTTGATATCTCTAATTTTCTTGAAGAGATCTCTAATCTTCCCCATTCTGTTGTTTTCCTCTATTTCTTTGCATTGATCACTGAAGAAGGCTTTCTTATCTCTCCTTGCTATATTACCTGTAATCCATACAGAAAAAGCAGCTCCAATCTGAAATATCACTAGGCTCGTTGCAATCAGAAAAGGAAAATGGCAAAAGCCAAGATGGCTCTTTAAGACCCTGTTCAACAAAACCCTGTGTCATTTTCAGACGCATTTCAGCAACCAAAACAAGACACAAGGCCATGCCCACTGTCAACAGATATCACAGGAAGGGGAGTGAATATGTGGGGATGATGACAAAATCTACCCTAGCAGTTATTACAAGTTTTTTGACCAGGATGATAGAGGTGCAGGTGCTAATATTTTGTTATATTCCAAATATACATTTGGACAGGATTACAGATGAATTAAAAGATGTGATAGAAAGAGGAATCAAGCATGGCTCTAATGTGCTTTGCCTGTAGCCAATAAAACAGTGCCAAATGTAGGAAATAAACAAAATCTATCACCTTTTACCCCATATTTGCTACCCACTTCCCTTATGATACCTATTTGCAATTCTTTTTTTTAAATTGAAGTATAGTTGATTTACAATGTTTTGCCAATCTCTGCCATACAATATGACTCAGTAATATACATACATACATTCTTTTTTTATGTTTTTTTTCCATTATGGCATAATGGAGATTAGATATTAGTTCCTGTGCTATACAGTAGGATCTTGTTGTTTATCCATTCTATAAGTAATAGTTTGCATCTACCAACCCCAAATTCTCAATCCACCCTCTCTCTCTCTATTCTCTGTTTTGGCAACCACAAGTTTCATCTCTATGTCAGTGAGTCTGCTTCGGTTTCATAGATAGGTTCATTTGTGCCATATTTTAGACTTCATATATAAGTGATATCATATGGTATTTGTCTTTTTCTGTTTTACTCAGTATGATAGCCTCTAGTTGCATCCATGTTGCTGCAAAAGGCATTATTGTGTTCTTTTTATGGCTGAGTAATATTCCATTGTATATATATACCACATCTTCTTTATCCATTCATCTGTCAACAGACAGTTAGGTTTCTTCCATGTCTTAGCTGTTGTGACTAGTGCTATGCTTTCGAGGCCTTTGATCTTAGGTGGCTAAGGTCATTAGCTGCATGGGAATTAGCAAAATAGTTAAGAGCACAAACTCTAGAGTCAGACAGACTTTCCTGGGGTTTCTTGGACTCTCTTCTCTGTGACCTTGGGCATATTGGTTAATATCTCTGAGTTTTCATTTTATAATCTGTAAGATGATGTATAGTATTTTCCTTAGGGAATGTTTATGGCATAAGATAAGATCTTTGTCTGGAATGTAAACACTCATCTAATGGCAGCTGTGTTTGTATTAGTTGGGTTTAGGGTGAATGGACAGGGAGGCATCAGCAAGGTGAGTAACCTTGGTTACCTTGAGACTATCTGCCCATCATGAGCTACATCATTTACCTCCTCTCTCTGCATCTTCACAACAAGCTTGTGGAATGAGGCTTATTACTCCCACTTTGCAGGCCAGCAAGCTAAATGTACAGAGGTATTAAGTGATTTTTCTCAAGGTCACATAGCTTGTAAGGCTAAGAAGAAGGATTCAAATACAAGCCCACACTCAAATAAATCAAATAAAAGAGTTTAAAATCTGACCATTGCTTGCTATTTATAGCACACTTATTTTTGATGGTATCAACTAAAATAATATATGAAAGGCAATCTGTGAATTCACTCTTAAGAAACAGTGAATGATTCTTTTGCTCCATGCAGTCAATTCCTTCTTAGAGGATATATGCAAATGCAGTCCAGAATTAGAAAGCCTTATTTATACTCTGCAGCCAGAGAAATAGCTTTCTGGCATGGATAGAAAGCAAGCTATGAATTCTTCAAGGAAGGTAGAGAAGATAATGGAAAGGCCTCAGGCATAAGGAATCAGAGTAAAAATTCCTACTTAGAAGGAAAAGATGTAGAAAATAAATGCAAACAAATTTTTTTAAAAAAAGAATGCAAAGCCACAAGAGTATTGACAGTGATATAATTAAAAATAAATAATATCCATCCTTTAATACCAGCACAATAAGGAAAACATTTTGAAAAACTAATGTCCAAAGTTGGTGACTATGCATTGAAATATGGTCTATTATTCTAGGCAGTCTAAGATGAAAAGTAATTTGGAGAAACACAGAAGACTGGGAAAATATTCCTATTTTTAATTTAATAATTCCCCTTCTTAGAATTCATTCTTTAAAAGTAATTCAAACTTTAAGGGAGAAAATGAAGAGGTTCTTTGGAGAATTATTTGAATGATAGCTCTTAAAATATGTCTGTCCAACAATTGAATAGTGGTTAAATAAATTATGATACTGCCACTCCCTAAACTTGTATAGAGATATTAAAGCTGTGACCTATACATTAAAAAAAAATAGATTGAAAAATTAAGTACTGACACATATTACAGAATGGATGAACCCTGAAAGTAGGCTCAATGAAAGAGGCCAGACATAAAAGGCCACATGTTGTATGATTCACTTATTTGAAATGTTAGGAGTAGGTGAATCTATGGGGACAGAACATGGATTAGTGGTTGCCTGTGTCTGAGTGTGTGGGATGGGGTTGGAGAAATGTAGAGTGACTGCTAATGGGGACATAGCTTTGTGGGGGGTGATTAAGATGTCTTAACTTAGGTTGGGGAGACGACTGCAAAGTGTGAATATTAAAAATTTTCAGCTGTATACCTTGGATTAATTATATCTCATAACAATATTAAAAATACAAATAAAACATTTGCTAAGTTATGCAAATACATGAGAAACAAATGTAGAAATAAATGTAACAAAATGCCGGCCAGTGATTTTCTTCAACAGATGAATTTATGGATGAAAAATTTTGTCTTCTCTTTGTCCAAAATTCTTATAATGAGATTAGATTTCTTTCATTACTTAAAAAAAATAAATGTAATTACCAAAGAGGAGAACCATTCCCCTTCGCAATTATGACTCCCCTCCACGCAAATCCGGTTTTCTTTCTTCTGTCTCACGAAGAGAAGAGTAATAAAGTTTACAGTCCAGGAGCCTGCAAATCCCCCCTAGCCATTTTAGGCCATTTGGTCCAATTCTCTGAATTAAAAAGACAATGGTATTAAAGGGCTTAACTTAAAAAACTAGACACACTAAACGTCTGGCCTATTGAATATATATGTTCTCGTTTTTAGGAAGTGATCGAAGCCATTGCTGAGTGTGCATTTAAGACTTCACCTTTCCCAATTCTACTTTCATTTGAGAACCATGTGGACTCGTAAGTATTCAGCACATTCAGGAGGGAGTCTTTTCTCCAGATAGAGCATGTTTAATCATTGTTCATCAGATTTAAGATATTTGACGTTGTTAATGGTGTTCCTCAATTAAGCTGTATATTAAGTGGCACACGTTCATCTGTATATGATGGGATTCTTTGGCTTAAATTTCATTAACATTAGAATGATCCACTGGACTTGTGGAATCCATTTTCTTGCCATGGTAGGATTTTAATTTAAGGACTCCTCTTTTTACAGTGAAATGAAACCCATTTCCTTATATAATACATGTCTCTGTTTCAGTGGCTGCTCTTATAACCCTCCTTCATTAGCTCTTTCTACTGTGTGCAAATTTGTAGTCAGTTTTGCCACCCTAAAATGGCCGGTTCTCTACACACTAGAGCTGATGGAGGGTGAACTAAATATATTAATTATATTTTGCCACTTTGTACTTACACAGAACTCAGACCACCAAATTCTCCCTCCATCCTATTTTTGTTGGTTTCCCATTTGTTAATATTTGTAAATATTTTATTTCAAAACAATGTGAGCTTTCTGCTGAGCCACATAAAGAATAAGTAATTTTTACTTACCTCTTTCATTCATTTTAAGGCAGAGGATCAGAGTTAGGCACATTTACATCAGATATGTACATATTAATTTATCATACAGTTACTCAATCTAAAGAGCTTCAACAAGAAAGATTCTCATCTACATTGAGTCAAAAGTCAAGAAACTAAAATTCTAGTCTCTGGAATTAATGTCTGAAGACTAGTCAGACACTGTGGTCGCTAGTAGTGACCGTCACTGCTCACAAGAGCATTTGGGAAGCTCTCTGTTTCATTCAACCACCTAAGCTACCACCTAAGCCAGTTTTCTCCATAAAAGCCTACAACACCTATCCCAAGCTGTCCCACAGATTTCTTAGATCCCTTTTTATCTTCCTTTCGGTAGGAAATCTTTTCCAGGCCACTGATTCCCTTTGTCCAACTAATTTGCAACACAGGCTTCAATTCACTAATTCTTAAAGAATTCACTAAACCTTAAAGAACCAGTTAGGTAGTGACCAAATTTCAGCTTGAGCAATTTCAAAATAGTTAAATCATTTGTTTATATATATGTGGAGACAGACCTTATTTAGAAGTAACCAAACTATAATTATTTGTATCTCTAGTTTACCCTCGGGAAATCCATACTACATTTACCAGCTCATGACTCTATTTCATTAGGAAACAACCATCCAGTGAATAACGTAATCATTTGGCACATAGTTTTTCTAGTGCTCCAGCACTCCTGAGGGGCAGCTGGAGAGAAAAGCATTTATTCTGTTTCATTGCAATTTCTTTTCTAATGAAAGGAGAACCTCTTCAGTTGCTGTATTTAGTACTTCACTTGCTGTGACAACTTTGATGTGCATGTGACTTTCCTCATCTCGGCCCATCTATTTGTAATTGGGCTCTAACAATGACTTAGCACCTTTTTTTCAAGAACCATACTTCCTGGAAAGATTGATGTATCATTTCCTTTTTGCAGAAATATCTCCAAGTCTAGTGCATTCATTTTCTTCAAGAAACGTTTCTATATAAATTAGACAAAATGAAAAATTCTGGTACCATCCTTGAGTCTCATAAACTTGAGTGTCCACCCCTGAGTGTCACTGGACTTTGCCATGTAGCCAGAGAGGCATCAACAACTACCAGCACCACAAACTAAACAACAGCTAATATTTATTGACTATAATATTATGTGCCAAACAAGGGTCCAAGCATTAGCTCATGTAACCTCACCACAAACCCAGGTGCTCCTAGGAATAGACATTTTTATCATTATCCATATTTTACAAGTGATGAAACTGAATCCCAAAGAGGGTGAGTACCTTGCCCAAGGCCATGCAGCTAAAATATTAGAGTGGGGATTTAAATTTGGCTAATGTGGCTTCAAAACTCATCTGTTTAAGCAACACCACCCCCAAGCCTAAACCAAAGGATCATGAGCATTCCAAACATGGATAAAGACAAGCAGAGCATCCCACAAGGCAACAGCCTGCAAGTGGTCACATTTTTGTGGCTCATGACCTTAACCACAGCATATTTTTTTAGTCTTCAACCCCAATCATACAGAGAGCCAAACTGAGCATGAAAACTAAACCTATATTGGACATAAAATAAAAAAAGGTTGTCCCCTAATACAGCCCTTTCAGGTTGAAAAAAAGTGAGAAATTGAGTTGCTAAAAGTTCATTAATAATTCACAAATAACAAAAGAAATCAGGAAAACAGCCTTCCTAGGATGCTATGATATTGATCCCAAACCACTGAGATGATGGAATGGCAGTGAGATCCTAAGATGCTGAATTCTATTGTGGGAGGAAGTTTTTTGCTTCCTATTTCCATTGTCCTTGAGCTTCACACACATATCAACATCATTCAGCCACAGTTCTTTCCTGTCGCACACCCAAAGAAAATTGATAAGCTTCCCCTTTGCTGGTAAAACCTTGTGCTTGACTCATGGGCCATCCCACCTCATTGCTGAACAAACCAGTGGTGGATACCATTCATCAGTTATAGCACTCTTCTCCACTGAACTAGATACACCCTCAGAATCTTACTCAACACAGGGACACACATACCCAAAACATCTGAAACCTATATGCCATCTCTAGCAACAGTTAGTTTTTTCCTCCTTTGTGCTGTGTATACAAAATGCCAGAATCAGAACCCTAGTCCCAGCCCACTTGAGTCATGCCTTCAAAACAAACCCACATTGGAAAAAAGAAGGAAACCTCTGATTTTTTTTGGTTTTCTCTCCTAATATTTGAAACTACCTATCCATACAAGGAGAAATCTGCCGTGAGCAGCTGACAGCTTTTCTACCACCTGCTATATCACAGTCCCATAAAATGCAGAATTCCTGAGCTTCACCTCCACACCTGTATTTGAATTTGTATAAGTGAGACTTTGAATCATATTTTTTTACAAGCCCCAGTTAACTGATGGGCCACCTAATTTGTAATTTATAAACTAGCATTTTCACTAAAAGAATTCTCCACTACACTCAAGTGAAGAAACCACTACATCTGGTTCAGCCACAGAGAATGTGAGATTTTGGATGAAGTTCTTAATTGCCAGCAGTTGTAAATCCTTCATATATAGGAAGGAGTTGTAAATCCTTTATATACATTTCATATATAGAGAAGGAGGTTGGTTTAGTTCACCTTGGATGATGTGGGCTTGCTCCTTGGTCAGAAAACTGATCACCTTGCCAATGTTTTAAAATGTCCATTTGGGGCTGGTGTAGCCTGAAACTCAAAATGTATTTGTAAATATTTTCCTCTCACTTTATCTCCATGATAGTCAGTGTTGATGTTCTAAATGCTTTAGGGTTTTTTTTTTTTTTTTTTTTTTTGCTCTCTCATGGTAAATGTAATGTCTTGTTTCTGCAATTAGAACCCACAATTAAAGTTGCTTTGTTCTCCTCTGACTTCTGCTCAGTTTGCTTTCTGTTTCAGTTAGGTTCCCTGCCAGATGGGCATGTATGTTTGATCTTCAAACACATTTTCCTTTATCCCTGGACACCTGCCTCTTGTTCTCCCCATCTTGGCTCATGGTGAAGCAGGTTTCAGAGTGTAGGTCAGACACAGATCCTTGCTCTTGAAAAGTGTGGTTGATCCATGGACCAGCAGCATCTACATGATCAGGGAGTTTGTTAGAGATGCAGAATCTCAGGTCCCACCCCAGTCTTTGCCTCAGAATCTTCATTTTCTTAAGACCCCAGGTGATTTGGTGAAGTGTTAGAGCAAGCACTTAGGTTTATTGACCAGCTGTTTCTTACCTGCAGGCTTGTTACAAATGCAAGTTCCAAGGCTCCACTGCCAGCTCAGTGAATCAGGGGCTTGGGGATAGGGCTCTGGCACCTGCAGCATTAAAAGCCCAGGTGATTCTTTAGTGGAATCGAGTAAGATTTTGGTTTAGCAAAATCCTCCCCAGGGTCTGATTTGGGGACTGCATGACAGAGGACAGAGTCTTCCTGCCACCTGTTTAGGGACACCTGGAACATCACCCTGAAGTGATGAATACAGCTCCACTAGAGTGGAGTGAGAAGACAGCTCCACTAGAAATCCCAAAAGCAGGGTGTTAGGGAATAAATCCTTCCTTTTCAGTCCAGGCTTCTGAACGAAGGAACTTGGGGCTCTCAAGTTCCAACCCTCAAGGAAAGTGACATCCTTGAGGAACCTGGTGAGTTAGTTCACCCATCACAGTGGTTCTCCAACTTGAGTGTATATGAGAAGCCTCCAGAGGGGGCCTCTTGAGACCCCTGAGCCCTGCTCCTTTCTTTCCTTCCTTTCTGACTCAATACCTGAGATTCCAACATGGAATTTGCCTGTCTTCCCAGGAGGCCTTGAATCTGCTTTTCTACCCAGCTCAAAGCCCTGTTGATGCTGCTGATCTGTGGACCACAGTTGGAACAGCAAAACTCCATTTAATAGCTTCATTCCATGAAAGTGAAGTGGAAGGGTCGGACAGTTTCTTTTGTGCGACCTCAAAAGTATAGTTGTTGTTGTTATTCACATTGTTGTTGTTGTTCACGGACCACAGCCTTGCCATGGTGAAGGGGCTCGTGTAACTCGATGAAGCTAGGAACCATGCAGCGCAGGGCCACCCAAGACAGATGAGTCATAGTGAAAAGTTCTAACAAATCACGGTTCACTGAAGGAGGGGATGACAACCCACTCCACTCGCCTGTAGAACCCGTGGGCAGCATGGAACAAGTAGGCCCAGACTCAATGGGCTTGTCTCATCTACAGCTGCAGAGCCTGCTGGCTTGGTGGAGCCCGGGGACCAGCCGTCTTTTGGGCAAAGGTGTCTGAACTGTAAATGGCCAGGGATGCTCTGCCAAATCAGCCACTTTTCTGCTTGTCCCTCAACTATAACACATTATCCTTTAACAGCCACCCCCAGTGTTTTTAGGGTCAGTGCTCCAGTTGGCAGGGCTTCCTCCACTGGTGACACTGCTGGGAGAGCTGCAAGATATTCCAAAGGCTGCGTGAGTCACACCGGATAATCCCCAACTGGTGGAAACGGCTGTGATGAGAATTTGGGAGTTGTCGTGTAGAGTTCTGCAAGTTTTGTGAAGCTCTGCTTTGCCTTCCCTTGCAGTCCAAGAAGGTAGTGAACTTGGGCTTGTATGGGAAGCACAGAGAACTCATTTGACACCTCCCCCAAATATATGCTTTTTAGAAAGAGGATATGGAGAGTGCTTTTCCCTATGGATCCATTGCAATATGATTTGAACCCCCAAAACATCCCCCTTCCCAGGAAAAAGCACAGTCCATGATCCAGGTATAATAGTCATGGTAGAAGGAGTGAAAATTAGAATCACATTTGTTAATTAATTTGAACTATAGTAAAGTTTTATTACTTACTTATTCTTACTACAGCCCCAGTTCTGCTAAAATGTACTAACAATGCAGCACATAGAGACTATTGGAAATCAAGTCCCACAGCCTGTAGATCAAAATCACAGTCCATAAAACCTGATGGAATTGGATACCTTTACAATGGTATTTGGAAGCAAAGGTGTGACCAATCTAGATAGCATATTAAAAAGCAGAGACATTACTTTGCCAACAGAGGTCCGTCTGGTCAAGGCTATGGTTTTTCCAGTGGTCATGTATGGATGTGAGAGTTGGAGTGTGAAGAAAGCTGAGCGCCGAAGAATTGATGCTTTTGAACTGTGGTGTTGGAGAAGACTCTTTAAGAGTCCCTTGGACTGCAAGGAGATCCAACCAGTCCATCCTAAAGGAGATCAGTCCTGGGTGTTCACTGGAAGGACTGATGCTGAAGCTGAAACTCCAGTTCTTTGGCCACCTCATGTGAAGAGTTGACTCATTGGAAAAGACCCTGATGCTGGGAGGGATTGGGGGCAGGGGGAGAAGGGGATGACAGAGGATGAGATGGCTGGATGGCATCACCGACTCGATGCACATGAGTTTGAGTAAACTCTGGGAGTTGGTGATGGACAGGGAGGCCTGGCATGCTGCGATTCATGGGGTCGCAAAGAGTTGGAACAACTGAGCAACTGAACTGAACTGAACTGATAATGATATTTAGCATCCTACAGAATGAGAATGGCTTTTTAAATGGTCAAGGGACTGGTAATCTGTTTTTCAACTCCATAGAATTGGGGGAGGGAATGTTTTGTGGTAATAAACTAAGAATTGTAAAAAAAAATAAAAATAAAAATAAAAAAATAAATGGTCAAGGGAAGCAGTTTTGAAAGCGTATGGATGTTCCCTCCTATCAACTCTGTTTATACATGAGCGGGCTCTCATTCGTCCAGTCTAGCTGACAGAAGCTGCCTTCCAGCACTGGGATCATCTTCCACTTCAAAGCTGTTTGCATCTATTACTTCACTTCATCTCATCATCCTCTGCCCCTTTCCAAGAACAATTATTTTCCTCTACTTTTTATAGATCCTGAGAGGTTGAGAACCTGGAACTCAGGTCAACAGTTCCAGCCTTTTCCCATCAGCCAGAGTTCCCCCTGGCACCTCATCAGGTTGACACCACCTTTGCTCCCCTCTTGTGCACAAAAGGGCTGCAAACACCCTTCCCAAACATGCATGCTTCAACTGTCTTTCCTTCAGGGCCCTTTCCCAAGTGGACACACTTCTGCCTGTCAGCCTTTTCGCTTCTGCATTTTTAGCTTCTTTCTCTGTCCACCTTCCTCCCTCTCCTCTGTTTCTTCACCTGCTTGTAAATACTTCTTTGCAGTGCAGCTCTGTCTGTTAGACAAATCTCACCCAAAAATTTATACAGAGTCATAAATGAGTTCTACCCCCAAGTATCTGGCGTTTGATTTAGAATTGGGAAATTAACCAAAAGTGACCGAGTCTCTAACCTGGGACATTCAAGCATCCAGGGATAGGCAGGTGACCTGCTGTCCCCTCCGTCTGTATCCTCCGTAGAAGAACCTCCTCTCTCCACCTGCCTGTGGCATTCAAGTCCACACAAGTGGGAATTGCAAGCAAGGATTTAGAAAGATGAAAGCAGTCCCGGCGGGTAAGGGGAGGAATGCCGTCCGTCTGTGGCCGCCGGTACGGGGCAGCCATACTGAGGCGCCTCTTTGCATCACCCGCCCGCTTCCGCCTCTCTCCCCTCAGGCCGAAGCAGCAGGCCAAGATGGCGGAGTACTGCAGACTCATCTTCGGGGACGCCCTCCTCATGGAGCCGCTGGACAAGTACCCGGTAAGCGTTCCGAGCCCATCCCGCAGGAGCGCACGCCTCCCTGTGACTGGGCTAGAGGGGGGCTCCCTTTTCCGCGTGTCTGTCTCTCGGTGTGAGTCCCGCAGCTGACCGCGAGCCCTCGGGCAGGGGAGGCTGGCTGGGAGCGCCTGAGCGGGGCAGACCCCCGGCTGACTCCTCTTCTGCCCTCACCCTCCGCCGCCCCCTGCCCCTCGAGAGCCAGCCGGGCCTGCAAAACCCCCACCACACTCTCCGCCCACAGCGGGAGCCCCGGGCACAGGCCCTGACCGCCTCCTGGACCCTCACCGCGCCCCTCTGAAAGACCCGGGCCAGGCGGTGCGGGGACATCCCAGCCTGCCCTGCTGGCCACGCTTCTCTTTCCTGCATGTGCCCAGCAGAATCCAGGCCGCCCTGTTGCCGTGGTCGTGTCCCTACGTCGGGAAGGAAAGCAGCAGAAAGATGGCCTCAGAGCCTCTTCCCTCCTCAGCCCCTTCCCCGGTCTCCACCGGTCTCTCCTGTTTTCATGCCAGTCTCCAGACTGGTTGCAAGTGAAGAATAGAGGACCCGCTTCTAGGAGCTCATAGACTTTCTAAAAATAACCTGTCTTGAGACTTGAACACTTGCTCTCCGATATAATATATAATAACCTTCTCATGGGAAATTGATTTTTCCCATTAGATGTACAAGCTGAATACACTAGAAAGAAGGCTTGCAAACAGCTTGAATCTCAGGGCGGTTGGTAAACCTGAAGCCACACAGTCCACTTCTGCTGAGGCCAAGATGTGCCACTTAACAGTATCATGCCAGGATGGGGACTTTGCTGCTTTTAAACTGCATCATCTGAAAAGTGGAATCTGAGGGCTTTCCCAGAAGCTCCTGCCTGTCTTCGCCATCTTCCTGGCAGGAGTCGCACTGTAACTGGTTTCCATCCTTTGATAATCCAGGCCAAGGCCTTCCAATCTGTTCTAAATCAAGATGGTTGGATTCATAGGGTCAATCAGAAAACTCATGAAACTTTAGCTTAGTGGGCCAAGTCACCCAATACATGTCTATGGATGTATTCATGTAGATTTCTGGTGGAAAAATAAAGGGTACAGTATTTAAAATATACCTTTCATGTGAAAAAAGAAAGAGCTATGAACCAGCCCCTACATAAGATACTTTAATGAGCTGTGTTGAAGGTAGTAAAGAACAATCTAGAAGTTTGTGGTATCTAGTGCAGTCCTTGGGTTTGGGGATAGAATCTGAAAGGAAAGGTTAGTGTTTTTAAAGAATATGTTTTTCTTTCTGTTAGTTGGAATCTGGAGTTCCCCTTCCAAGTCCTATGGATTTAATGTACAAAATTTTGGTGAAAAATAAGAAGAAATCACACAAGTCATCAGAAGGAAGTGGCAAGAAGAAGCTCTCAGAACAAGCTTCAAACACGTGCAGCGACTCCTCCAGTGTGTTTGAGCCCTCGTCCCCAGGAGCCGGTGAGGGGCTGGTAGACTCTCATTCCTCTGTTTTGTGTGGGTTTAAGAACAGCTGCTCTGGAAGTAACTGAGGACTTTTGACATTTCTAACTGGGCACAGTAAACTGTGTTGGTTTTCTATTTGTTTTAAAGCTGGTGGTTTAAAACTGCACCAACATATGAGTCCCCAGTTCTGCGAGGCAGAGGCCCATGTGACCTCACCAGGCTAAACTCCAGCCATCACAGGGCTGCCTCGCTTTCTGGAGTTTGAGGGAATCTTTTTCATTGCACTTTCAGCTCCTAGAGTCCACCCACATCCATTGGCTCATGGCCCCCTTCCTCCAGGGTTCAAAGCCAGCAAGGTCCCATCTCACTTCTTCTGTTACCGTGTCTCCCTAGGACCACAGTTAGAAAAGGTCCTCTGCTTTTAAGAACTCATGTCATTATATTGGGCCTATCCAGATAATCCAGAATAATCTCTCCCCCTTCAGCGTCCTTAACTTAATCTCATCTGCAAAGTCCCCCATGCCATGTATTCACAGGACACAGGAGGTGTTCACAGGACATGGGCATTTTGGGGAGGTCGCCATATAAGCCAAATAATTTCTGGAGGAGCCAGGTGATTTTAAGCTTCTCAGGACAGTGGTCCCTTGACATTAACTACAGATCTGGACCCAAGATATTCACCAAATGCATTCTCATTGTCGAAGAGTTCTGAGTCATTCAGTTCATCCATATTTTCCAGAACTCTTTTAAAATGTAAATGGTAAGATTACTTAAATTATCTACCAGAGCTACTAGATGATGTTTAGTATCATTTATTTTCATATTTAGATTTAAGTTGAAATAGACTTTTGTGATTGATGAAAAAAGAATTAAAAACGGTCACCCATTTCCTTTGAATTATTTGTCATTTAGTCTAAGTTCTTTTCCAGTTCTAGTCAGAATCTTGGCAGTCTGAAAAGATCTGAAGTGATGGCTTTATGAAGATCTCCTGATTGGAGGCTGAATATGTGAAACAGACTTTAAGCTTGAATCTAGAAAGTTCTTCAATAAAAATTTAGCTAACATTGGGACAATGGCTTTGGAAAAGTGTTTGGCAGCATCTGCAGAAGCTAAACTGAACAGATGCATTTGAAGCTCCTGTGCCTCAGAGAATTCTGTTCCTAGGTATATAGCCAACAGAAGTGCATGTAGATGTTCACCAAGAAATATGGGCAAGAACTGCTTAAAGCAGCGCTATTCAGAATAGCCCATCAACAGATAAATACATTGCATTCACCTCATGGAATAATGTGTAGCAATCTACAGTGCACACAGCATAGATGACTCTCATTTAGAAACATAATGTTAAGGAAAAGAAGTCTAATGCAAAAGTAAGTATCCACTGTCTGATCCCATTCATATAAAGTACAAAATGGCAGAACTAACCAGGACTTTTAGAGGTCAAGAGAGGGTTACTCCTGGTGAAGTGACAGTAAGGGACCCAAGGAGGTTTCTGAACACTGGTTATATTTTGTTTGCTGATCTGGGCACCATTTCTGTACACATGTGGTATGCATACTTCTCTGTATATCTATCATATGTCAATTAAAAGATTTAAAAATAATTTTTAAAAATTAAAATATATACTCTAGGTAAATCAGAAAAAAAAAAGACTGATCAAGAGCCCAGTTTATCTTTTCTTCTATTTTTCCATCATAGTTACCAATTACTTGTATTGGTACATTAAATTATTATTTAATTTATACATTATATTATATATTCTATTATTATTATAATGTAAATTATTATTACATTAAAATCCTTGTCCACAGACATTATGTAATTCCTAGAAAGATTTTTTTGGTAGTTTTTAAAAGTGTGTTTAAAACCACACAATTCTTATTCTTTTTTCAAAAATAACTTCTATTCTCAGTGAGAATGTTCTTTTTGAAGTTTTGGAAAGCAAGGCACTAACAGGCCAACAGTTTCCCAGCATGATTCTATCCCTTGAGTAAACCAAGTCTTCCCTTGTGTGTGGGAGCTTGTTGTTTTACCATCTGCCTTCATCAGTTCTCTCCCTCTTATTAACTGGATGCATAACACAAATGACGATTTTTACAGGCGATGAACATTATTGCTTAATTCAGAGAAAGAGCCACAATCTGTTAGTAATTCAGTGGATTTCCTAAACTGGCCCCATACTCTGTTGTGCAATCTTTATTTATTGTGATGGAAATTTTTTGACATTTATATATGTAAGTAGGCCCCTGAATAAATACCACTACTAATTTGCCATTTGGCTTGTAGATGTGCTCAGTATTGGAAACTCAAGTAACTTGAAAAACTTGAAATATTTCTTATACCAAAGCTAATCTACTTTTCTTAGCACCTATTGGCAAGATCTTCCCCCAAGAGATCCAGCCCTTTGCCTGTACACTTGTCTTAAAGAACTAGGATATATTATTATTATTACAATTGCGCAACAGGATTCCTTCAAGTTCCCTCCATAAACTAAGGGAGAAACCAGGTCCCTGCTCATAGAGTAAAGGATGACAAAGTCTTTCTTTCCCACATAAACCAGAGAATGGCATGATTATTTGAAATTCTGGTGTGCTGTACCATGAAGCACGCTTAAATTACTCAATAAAAAGAACCTCCTCTTTAATTAAAGAAAAAAAAGTAGTTACCAAAACTTGAGACAATAAATTTGACTGTAAGAAATTTTGCATCAACCTCTTAAAAGAATGTATCTCTATAGAATAAGCAATGTTTTCTATTCAAAGTGCAATTGATTCACCCTTATTGACTAATACAATATTAGCTTCATAAAACAGTTATATGTGGCTTTCTTTAACAAACAAGCCATAAATAATAAACCATGTTGGTCCCAGACAACTTTTTCCTCTAAAGATTATTTCATGAATACTTTGCCCACTGCTCTCGTTGTCAGCCAAATGAAAACATTAATAAGCTTCTTGGAGGCAGTGGCAGTGTCCTTTACAGAACCTGAGCCGGGGAGTTAATATAGACAGCAGGTAGGGGAGGTACTGGGCCATGTAAGCTGCCTCCTTGTCGAGCCAAGATTGCCATCTACTGGGTTTATTATGCTGTTGCACTGTCTGGACACTGGAAGTCAAATCAAACAATTTAGAAGTATGCTTTCATTACTTTTTACTTGAAAATATTGTTATATAACTGATATCACTGGGTCTGACTGAATCCCAGAGCTGTGAAGAACATAATGCTGATGCCAATATGACTCTTTAAGAATGTAATGATGATTAAGGGTGTAAACATCCACCTTAACTTTGGAGAGAAAAAGTCTACTGAAATGACAGCATATTGGCTAAATATGAAACTGCATGAGATCTGATTGAGGGAGATCCCCATGCATAATTATTTTAAGAGTTCACCCATTTTATTCTGCCTTTTTAAATAGAATATGCCATTTGTAAAGATACATGCACTGTTTAGACAACAGTTCATGCCTGTGTGCCTGCTAAGGTGCTTCCGTTGTGTCTGACTCTTTGCAACCCCCTGGACTGTAGCCCGCTAGGCTCCTCTGACCGCGGGATCCTCCAGGCAAGAATACTGGAGTGGGTTGCCATGCCCTCCTCCGGGGATCTTCCCAACCGAGGGATCGAACCTGCATCTCACGTCTCCTGCATCGGCAGGCAGGTTCTTTACCACTAGTGCCACCTGGGAAGCCCTTAGACAGCAGTGCCTCCATCAAATAAGCCTGCAGGCAAATCACAGGATACAGTCAGTGCCTTACAGTTCTGGAGAATCAGATTGCTCCTATAGCCCCCGTTCCTCTCCCAGCTCTTGTCCTCGACTTCCGCTTCCGTGAGGTCCTCTCTGGCCAAGGTCACTGAGCGCTGGCCAAGAATCACATGAAGAGTTAGGGCTGAGAAGAAGAGGGAAAGGTGGAAAAGTGACCGTTTATCTGGTTTGGGTCATAGAGACCCTGAAAGAGGATGTGTACATCAAGATGGTCCAAGACAGGTGCACCAGAGAGAGCTAACTGTATAAGATGCCATGTGCTTTGCAAAACATAGACAAAAATGCTAAGACAAGCATCTTTTATAGAGTTTGGAAATTTCACACATCAGATTTAGAAAAAACATTCAAACACAGTATAACCCTTCTAGCATCAATAAAATTTAAATATCCAAAAGGATAGTTTTCGTGAAAGGCCAATTTCAAGGAAATGTTTGCTAAATATACATGTCACATGTGCTTCCAACCTGTAACTGCTTGTTTACTTCATGATCTGTTATTAAAATTTGACAGGAGAAGCTGATACAGAGAGTGACGATGATGACGACGATGATGACTGTAAAAAGTCTTCAATGGATGAGGTAGGTTTCTAGGGCTTGACTTCTGGTCAGAGACTTTCCAGCAACTTGCCATTCCAGTCCGCTTGCTCTGAATGTAGTTCCTGGTCACCTTCTGCCATCTAGTGGTAAAAATAGTTTAAAACTGTAAGTGCAAAAATTGATCACTAAACCAAGTATTGTGTTAAGTAAAGTTCTCTCTCAACAACAGTTTTGCTGAAGCTGTCTTTCATCAAATGTAGTATCTTGAGGGTGAATTCAAGATCTTGTGATCTTGAATTGTGATCTCCATCTTCCCACTTCAGTTTTTGAGACAGTTAAATGGATGTCATGGTCCAAAGCCCAGAGAAGACTTGAGTTTTGGAGAAATGTTTGTAAACTTGACATTAATTTCCTCATGGTGATTTTGACCTTTGTTGGGCTGCCTGGCTTGTAGGATCTTAGTTTCCTGACCAAGGATTGAATCCAAGCCCCAACAGTAGAAGCCTGGGGTCTAGCCACTGGACCTTCATAAGTCCCCATTCTTACAATTTTGGAACCACTAGAGATTTCTACTGAATATTGAGGTATATTTAATATTTAGAAGTTCAATATTCCCCAAATAACTCAGAAATATTAATTGAACAGACTCTAGAAGCAAACCAAGGATAGGTCAATTGACATTTTAAAACTTTTACCAGGAGTCCTGTTCAAAAAATTTGTACTGAATCTGCTTTCAAATATATTGAAAAGTATGTCTCAGTAGTTGTATCTTTACAATTTAATTAATAGAGATAAATAACAAACAATAAGCTGTTCTGACATGATGCTCTTCCTCTTATACTTATTTCCTTTAATGTAGTCTAAATTCTTAATTATGTTTCCCCCACTAAATTTCAACTTAATACCCAGAATAAAAACTATTACAAAGTAGCTTTTCCTGAGAATTATTTCAATTGTGTAAACTTTTTGTCAGTACCTTTTGATCATTTTAAAACTATCTTACTAATTGGATGACCGTTTACAATGGATATTCCTGATTAGCATTTAATCTTAATCTTGCTACAGAAGTTTTCAGAAGAAAACTTGTCTCCCTTGTATTCTGCCTTCTAGAAGTGGGAGAAAATGTTAAATCAGCCTACAGAGGTCTGCCTATATCAGTACTGCAGTGTGGGGTTTCTTCTTTATTAAAAGCTTTATCAAAGTGGTATTTATATAATAGCTAACATTAGCTAAAGTAACATGAGACTGTAATATGCCAGGCACTGTTCTGAGCTCTTTCACATAAATTAACACACTTAATAATCACAAGAACTCTATATGTTATGGAGACTAATTTTTTCCTGATTTTATAGGTGGGCAGACTGAGGCACAGAGCAGTTAAGTAACTTGCCCCAGACTGGCTCTAGAACCTGAGCTCCTGTATTGTGTAGTCGCTAAGTCGCGTCCAACTCTTTGTGGCCCCATGGACTGTAGTCCACCAGGTCCCTCTGTCCATGGAATTTCCCAGGCAAGAATACTGGAGTGGGTTGCCATTTCCTTCTCCACGGGATCTTCCCAACCCAGGGATCAAACCTGTCTTCTCCCACACTGTAGCCGGATTCTTTACCACTGAACCACCAAGGAAGATGCATTGTGCTGCTTGCTTAATAGGTGCCCAGGAGCTGGAAAGGGAGCCGAGCAGAAAGGTTCTAAAGAAAAGCAGTATTTGTTGGCCCACTTTCACTGGCGACCCTTTTCAGTAACAGTTTTCCATTCATCCAGTGGTCACCTGCATACTCATTTTCGTATAGTCTGATGACTTCTTTTTCAACTATTTTATTGATTTATTTGGCTGTGTCAGGTCTCAGCCGTGGCCTGCAGAATCTTGGTTGTGTAAGAGGGGATCTTTCCTGGCAGTGCACAGACTTTCTGGTTGCAACCCAGGAGCTCCAGAGTGAGCGGGCTTCAGTAGTTATGGGGCACGGGCAGTGATCCCCCGGCATGTATCGTACAATGAATTCTTGATATATTAACGTCAGACATCACCTGCAGACTCCCTGCTTTGGCAGATGAGACACAGCTTGAGCCTTCTTCACTTTACTGTGCATTTGGCCCACCTTAGTACATTACAGATCCTGGTTCAGGAGGGATGGGAGGCTGCTCTCTCACGAGCTTTCCGGTGGTACTGAGGCTGCTGGTACTGGGTGCTCGGGGAGCCGCCCGGAGACCTTCCTCCTCCCGCCGCTCACCGTGTAACGCGAGGTGCTGCTTTTCCTTTCTCCTCTAATCCATTTTCTGTTGGCAATAATTGTTTTCAGAAAAGGAGTGGTCCTCTTCTGCCCTCATGGGTCATTTGATTGTTGCCCTGGGAAAACAACCCTCACTAACATGATGCTGACTCTGGAAACATTGTTTTTACTCCTGCTTCCAGGGGACCGCAGGGAGCGAGGCCATGGCCACAGAAGAGATGTCTAATCTGGTGAACTATATCCAGCCAGTCAAGTTTGAGTCATTTGAAATTTCAAAAAGTAAGTTTTCCCTGGAGAAAAACCCCTAGTGTAGTATATAATCAGTATATTATACCCACAAGAAATTAAACCAAAAAATATTACCCTTATTAGAACTATTCTATGAAGTTTTTAATATATGCGTGTCTTTACTATCTGATTGTTATATATCTAAATAAATGTACATGGTAAGTAGCTTCATCGTATCCAACTCTTTGAGACTCTATGGACTGTAGCCCACCAGGCTCTTTTGTCCATGGGGTTCTCCAGGCAAGAATACTGGAGTGGGTTGCCATGCCCTTCTCCAGGGGATCTTTCTGACACAGGGATCCAACCAGAGTCTAAGTCTCCTGCTTTGGCAGGCAGGTTCTTTACCACCACGGCCACCTGGGAAGCCCCAGATATATGTAAGTATGTATTTATATGTATTGTATGCATCTATATAACCATATGAGAACATATTCCATGATATTTCCCAAAAATTCTTAATAGACCTACAGGCTATACGTGATTATCTAAAAGATACTAGACCAGTGTACAGTTAATTGAGGATTTTACATTGTTTTTCATTCATGACCACACAGTGCAATTATATAAATGACAGTGTTGAAATAAACTATTTAACCATCCTTTAAAAGGAAGCAGAGACTTGAATGATCCTGATAAATAGAAATGGAACCAAATCAATTGACCCACATTTCATTTGTTCAGCCCATGTTTTATATACTTAGGGGAATATATAATTAACTTCACATCACTTGGTATTTTACTTCGTCCGACAACCCATCCATACTGGATGCAAGAGAAAGGAGGCCTTGTATCAAAGTGCTTGGTTGTGTCTGACTCTTTTTGCAGCCCCATGGACTATAGTCCACTGGGCTCCTGTGTTCATTGAGTTCCAGGCAAGAATAGTGAAGTGGCTTGCCATTCCCTTCTCCAGGGATCAAACTGGGGTCTCTTGCATTGCAGGCAGATTCTTTACTGTCTGACTCACCAGGGAAGCCTAACTTTCAATAAGGTTTAGACATAAAAATTTCAACAGTTTGTTTTATGTTATAATTACTAGTCTTCTTACCACAAGCTGTGAAACATCCTATAAAGTAGTTATTTTTATATTACTATAACTGTCTCTGGCTGTTAAATGTTTGTTTAATTCATGATTCAAAAGCTCCCAGACAAGTAGCCAAACTGGAAAGGAGCTGGTACATTTAGGCCCTTAAGAACCTGATAACAGAAGCACCAGCCAAAGATGTACAAACAAGCACTTTCTCCTTGTATTTTATACCATTTTCTCACTTTTTTCAAAAGAACACTGCACATAGTTTACAAAGAACCTATTAAAGTGACTTAATTTTAATTAACAGCTGTGCTTAAAACAGTCATATGAAAGTAAAATTTTGATGGACCAAAATAAGAGAAACAAGGGTTTCCTTTAGAGTTGATTAAATTGGGGAAGGTGAAGAGGTGGATAAAGGAGAAATGTGGGAATAACTAGGAAGAAAAATGAGGCTTTAATTATGGAAAATGGGCATCAAAGAGGGAACAGTGCCTGACGGTAACTCAGTTTAAATCACTAAGCTCCGAGTGACATGTCTTTATATGTAGCAGTGTGATTTCTAGTTGGAAAGAGGTCAGAGAAGCTGTTTGGCTCTTTGCCTTTCTAAACTAAGATAACTTCTTTTGGTTTCTCTCACTCTAATTGGAAGCTTGGCTTTCGCTTTCAAGATGTTGCTCTGTGTCCAAGAATATTGAGACCTTCTAGGACATTCATCTCTGTGGCCCCCGACGTGTAATCTGAAAATGAGGCCATCTGACTGGAAAATGTTCAAGGATCCTTCTGCTTTAAAGTAACAAAATTCTGAGGTCACATTAGTTCTTTCAACCAAAGGGTACCTACAAGTTTGAGGTGATGACAGTATGGGTATAGTCGAGTAGAGGTAGTCAGCATCTGGAGGAATGTACATGTGGACGTGGCCTGTATTGTTAGTTCTCAGTGATAGCTTCAAGAAACCAATCTGAATGGATTTAGAACAAAAGGTCCTCTTTTGACAGATTAGCTTACCTGGCCACACTCTCCACGTCTAAAATTCATCTTCCAACACTGAGGCCACCATGTCCCTAACTTGCACGACACCTTAACCAGGTAGTAAATATTAGAAGACACAACTAAGACTGAAAATTAAAATTAAAACAAAATTAAATATGAAAGTTATTTGAGGGTCTTTGCCCTCAGTTTCACGGGACATTTGTCTACTTCTTATGTGCTATTATTTATAACACTGAATTTTATTTCTCACTTTTTTTGCTTTTGTTAACACAGAAAGAAATAGAAGCTTCGAGATGTCTTCCTTTGTGGAAACCAAAGGTCTTGAGCAACTTACAAAGTCTCCAGTGGAATTTGTAGAGTATCCTTGATTTGACGGATGTGTGCTGAATTGACATTAATGAAGTCTTGTGCTATTGGTTTAATTTTTGTCTTTAATAAGGAAAAGGTGCACATGAAATGGCTAAAGTCTGTCACTTGGGAGTGATAAATAGTTTCAGGTTTCTTATGCAATGGTGAGAGGGATAGTCTGGCCCGTGGAAGAGAACTGGCCTTGGAGTAAAGAAAGATTTCAAGGTTACCTTCACACTATCAAGCTCTTAATCCCTTGGCAATTCCGTTTTCTCACCTGTAAAACAGAAATGATGCTACCAGCTTTGTGGCTTGCTGTTTGGGTTAGTGATCACATATGTAAAATGTGTGTGTGCATTTTATACATATGTAAAATATGATGTGCATAAAGTGTATATTATATATATAATAGAGACACCTTTCTGGTGTCTCACATGCTTACATGTAATAGACGTCCAATTGAAAAATTGGGATGATGATGAGACTATAAATATATATTACTAATAATATATATAATAAATATATATTACTAATAATGGATTTGTTGAGACTCCTGATGACAATTTTCTTATTTTATTCCTGAATTAAAATAAAATGGCACAAACATTTGAATTTTTTTCATAAAATTAATATTAAATGTCCTAGTTATAAAAAAGAAAAAAAATCCTCTTTAAAGTTCATTAACAATAGGGAAGGTAACAGGTGTTAACTCCATAAACAAAGTGATGATTGACATAATCATTCGTAATCAATAAGTACTAACTACATGGTAGACCTTTGTTATGTTTTAATGTAATCCTCACAATAGCCCTATGATGTAAGAATCATATATCTTTTATAGATGAAGAAACTGAGGCACAGAAAAGGGAAATAACTTGTCCTGAATCATGCAGCTTACAAGTTTCAGGTTAAATTTCAAACCCTCTTTGGCCTAAGTCCCCTGTCAAACCCAGAACCTGCGCTGACCTCTGCCAAACTTGGTAGTGTGTGTGTGTGTGTGTGTGTGTGTGTGTGTGTGCGCGTGCTCAGTCACTCAGTTATGTCTGACTCTTTGCAATCCCATGGACTGTAGCCTGTCAGGCTCCTCTGTCCATGGGATCTTCCAGGCAAGAATACTGGAGCAGGTTGCATCTCCTACTGCAGGGGATCTCCCTAACCCAGGGATCTAACCTGTTTTTCTTGCATTTCCTGCATTGGCAAGAGGGTTCTTTAAAGCTTGGTAATAGCAATAATTAATTGTGTTTTAAAGACATAGCATCATTCAATAACTAACAGGTTCTCAGGATGGAAAACTGATGATGGTAGGATTCAAAATATGAGTCAAAATCTTCTGTGCTATATTAACCTTGTTATCAATCATAAAGAGTACCATAGTTTTGGCAAAGAGCATTCCCTGAGAAGGTTAAGAAAATGAGCAGAGAGCATTTCAAAAATAGCTGTACAGTTCATGTTATCTGTTTCTGCCAAGCACAATATCATCCTGTCCCATGATTTGCTACATTTGGATTTCCTTTTATGTCCTTAATCACTAAGCCAGTCCTTAATAATCTCCAAAAAATTGTGTTGACTCAACCATTTTTGCTGCTTCATTAGTTTTTACCCACAAGGCTCTGCAAAGATGATGCTCCATTTGTATTATAAAAGCACATTTATTATGTTTGTTCAGAAAGCTTTTTACATATTTCACTCACTAGTCCAATGAGATCATCCATCTTTAATTCATTTCCCCCTCAGTGAAAGATGGGAAGCAGCTTCTCAGTTAATATTATTGGTTAATTCTTTTTGTAATTGTATTCACTACTTAACATGATGGTCCAGATATAACAAAATGCAGCTTAGCAGGATATATCCAAAGGGAACACGCGTGGATTCATCCAACTATATGCCTCAGCTCTTCTGGAATGCAGGCTGCCAAATGGTTGCCCTTAATTTCCAAACAGTGGGTAAGTTGCACAGTTAGTATTCATTTCCATCCTATAAAAGCCACATTTCCAAGTGCCTGAAAATCATCCCAAGGAGGAGAAAGACTGCCAGGCTGGATTGAAAAAACAAACAAAAACACATTTTCATAAAGAAAATACCATTACAAAAAAAGGTAAATTTTGAATATTGAGGAATTATCTCTGAAAGTTTGTAGATGTCTTTATTTTGATTTGTTTTACTTATTTTCAAACAAATTTTTACACTTTTAAAAGTAATACACATTTATTCTAAAAAATATAAATTCAAAATAAGTATTAAAAAAATAATAAAACTTCCAGGAATGTTACCACTGAGAGATTCTCTCAACATTGTTAACTTCTGGTTTTGTGATCTATAAGGTTTTTGGCTATGCATATACATGCTTTTTCACTTAATACCTTATTAAAATATATATCTTCATATATATTTAAATATTATATGGAAACATGAATTTTAATAGCTGTATATTAAGTACATCTCAGAATTAACTAAAGCACATTTCCTATCACTGAACTTTAGGACATTTTTTTTCTGCTATAAATAATGCCCTGAGAACAGGCTGAAATATAAATTGTCAAGTTTATCTCCTAATGTTCTTTTGGAAAAGTTCCTAAAATAGAATTCAAAGAAGTGAAAGTTTTAAGAACCTTTGTACAATGCCAAATTGTACATCAAAAATGTGGCATGAGATTTCTTCTCAATCAGCAATGTATGATATGTTTTTCCCTCACATTTGTGATCTTGGTTAAGTATTATTATTAAGTAATAGTAATAATTCAGACAACTATCTCCTTGTTCTTTTTCATTTCTTTGAGTGTTGAAGTTGAACCTTGTAAGTTTGTGTTTTTATTTTTGTTGTTGTTAAGTCACTAAGTCTGTGCAACTCTTTGCAACCCCATGGACTGCAATACCCCAGGCTGTCCTCCATTCTCCTCACTGTCCACTGTCCTCTGTTATCTCCTGGAGTTTGCTCAAATTCAAATTCATCATAGTCAGTGATGCCATCCAACCATCTCCTCCTCTGCTCCCCTTCTCCTCCTGCCTTCATCTTTCCCAGGATCGGGGTCTTTTCCATTGAGTTAGCTCCTCTATCAGGTGGCCAAAGTACTGGAGCTTCAGCTTCAGCATCAGTCCTTCCAATTAATATTCAGGACTGATTTCCTTTAGGATGGACTGGTTTGGTGTCCTTGCAGTCCAAAAGACTCTCAATTCTTTGGTGCTCAGCCTTCTTTATGGTCCAATTCTCACATCCATACATGACTACTGGAAAACCGTAACTTTGTATGGGACCTTTGTTGGCAAAGTCATGTCTCTGCTTTTTAATATGCTTTCTAGGTTTGTCATAGTTTTCCTTCCAAGGAGCAAGCATCTTTTAATTTCATGGCTGCAGTCACCATCTGTAGTGATTTTGGAGCCCAAGAAAAGCAAATATGTCACTGCTTCCACTTTTTCCCCTTCTATTTGCCATGAAATGAGGGGACTGGATGGCATGATCTTAGTTTTTGAATGTTGAGCTTCAAGCCAGCCTTTTCGGTCTTCTCTTTCACTTTCATCAAGAGGCTCTTTAGTTCTTCACTTTTTGCCAGTAGAGTGGTATCATCTGCATATCTGAGGTTGTTGATATTTCTCCTAGAAATTCTGACTCCAGCTTGTGATTCATCCAGCCTGACATTTCACATGATGTACTCTGCATATACTTTAAATAAGCAGGATAACAAGATACAGTTTTGTCATACTTCTTTCCCAAATTTGAACCAGTGAGTTTCTATGACTGGTTCTAACTGTTGCTTCTTGACCTACATACAGGTTTCTCAAGAGATAAGATGGTCTGGTATTGCCGTCTCTTTAAGAATTTTCCACAGTTTGTTGTGATCCACACAGTCTAAGGCTTCAGCATAGTCCATGAAGCAGAAGTAGATGTTTTTCTGGAATTCCCTTGCTCTCTCTATGATCCAATGAATGTTGACAGTTTGATCTCTGGTTCCTCTGCCTTTTCTAAACTCAGCTGGTACATCTTGAAGTTCTCAGTTCACATACTGCTGAAGCCTGGCCTGAAGGATTTTGACCATAAACTGACTAGCATGTGAAATGAGCACAATAGTCCGGTAGCTTGAACATTCTTTGGCATTGCCTTTCTTTGGAATTGGAATGAAAGCTGACCTTTTCTAGTCCTCTGACCACTGCTTAGTTTACATATTTGTTGACAGATTGAGTAGAGCACTTTAACCGCATCCTTTTTTAGAATTTGAAATAGCTTACCTGGGATGCTTTTACCACCACTAGCTTTGTTCATAGTAATGCTTCCTAAGGCCCACTTGACTTCACACTCTAGGATATCTGGCTCAAGGTGAGTGGTCACACTGTCATGGTTTTCTGGGTCATTAAGACCTATTTTGTACAGTTCTGTATATTCTTGGCACCTCTTCTTAATCTCTTCTGATTCTCTTAGGTCCTTACCATTTCTGTCCTTTATTGTGCCCATCCTTGCATGAAATATTCCCTTGATATTTCCAATTTCTTAGAGAGATCTCTAGTCTTACTCATTCTATTGTTTTCCTCTGCTTCTTTGCACACATTTAAGAAGGCCTTCTTATCTCTCCTTGCCTGTCTGAAACTCTCCTTTCAGTTGAGTTTATCTTTTCCTTTCTCTTCTGTCTTTTGCCTCACTCCTTTCTTCAGCTGTTTGTAAAGCCTGCTAGACAACCACTTTGCCTTCTTGCACTTCTTTTTCTTTGGGATGGTTTTAGTCACTGCCTCCTGTATAGTGTTGGGAACTCCTGTCCATAGTTCTTCAGGCATTCTGTCTACCAGATCTAATCCCTTGAATCTATTCATCCCCTCCACTGTATAACCATAAGGGATTTGATTTAGGTCATACCTGAATGGCCTCATGGTTTTCCCTACACTTTTCAATTTAAGTCTGAATTTTGCAATAAGGAACTGATGATCTGAGCCCCAGTCAGCTCCAGGTCTTGTTTTTGCTGACTGTATAGAGCTTCTCCATCTTTGGCTGCAAAGAATATAATCAATCTCATTTCTGTATTGACCATCTAGTGATGTCTATGTGTGGAGTCCTGTTGTGTTGTTGGAAGAGGGTGTTTGCTATGACCAGTGTATTCTCTTGGCAAAACTCTTTTAGCCTTTGCCCTTTTCCTTTTGTACTCCAAAGCCAAACTTGCCTGTTACTCCAGGTATTTCTTGACTTCTTACTTCTGCATTGCAATCCCCTATGATGGAATGATATGATTTTTATTTTTGCATTTCTGCTTTTATTCAGGACTGCTGTCAATTTTTCTGTTCATTTAGAACAGTACTTCTTATATAAAAGTCATGTTGTCTTATTTTGTGGAAGAGATGAGATCGGATTGATTAATGTTTTATTTTATGGAATCTTAGTTTACCCTTACAATTACAAGCTCCACATCTGAGAATCAATCCAGGCTTACTTCTATTTCTTTCATAATTTCTTTTTCACATGTAATTTAACCCTTTCATCCACATAGATTTAATGTTCATGTATAATCTTGGTAAGAGATCAGTCTTTTATATGAGAGGTTGCCTTTTTCATTGTTAATTTGGGTCCATTTTTTTCAATTTATAAGTCTCCATTAATAAATTTTTCACCTTCCTGGAGCCAATAACTTTGTTATTATTATAATGTTTCATAATATGGTTTAATATGTGGAAGAGGAAATTCTCCTTTTCTCTTACTGTTCAGTGTTTCTTTGCTTTGGACTGACTGTTCTAAAATAATATTAACTAATAATATTAAGATTGGGCACTTCATCTTGACACTAATGAGAATTTCACATCATGATGCCAATGGGTAGATGCTGGCTGTGACTTTGAGACAGTCTTTTACACACTAAAGGAATCTACACTTGACCTAAATGACAACACTGGTTTTAGGAATTTATGTTGAATATTATTAAATGTCTCTTTGACATCTATTGGGATGATCTTACGTTCATTTCTTCTTTGTGAGAAATGTGATAAATTTTACTAGTATATCTCTAATATGTAAGTATCCTTTTGTTCCTGAGAAAAATTCTACTTGCTTATGTATTTTTTTTAGAAAATATGACTTGACAATTAATTTTTAGGCTTTTGAAGTTAATTTTTTTCAAGCATAATTTTGGTAGTTTATCCAATTTTGGTATCACAGTCATAATAACTTATAAAATGATAGATAAAAATTCACTTATTTTTCCCTGCTCTAAAAACAATTTGTTACATGAAACTTTGAAATAATTCTACTATCACTTCTTTACTGTCTATCTAAGTAGAGATGAGTTGTAACTCAGACAATCGGGAACAAATTGATAGCTTCTCAAATTCATTATGACTTTAAAGCTTGTTTGTTTAGCTCTAGCAATTGCAAATAATGTAGACATTTATTTCCTACATTGATCAAGTCTTAGCAAACTTTGATCAGGAATCTTTGTCCATTAGAATCAAGTCAATGAGTGATTAGATATTGGTAGTAAGTAATCAAACAAATAAAAAAATTTTAAAGAAAATCTTTTTCCTATAAATTAAAAAAAGAATTATAGTATCTACTGTTGATTACGTATGAAGAAGTCCATCCTCAAAAACATGGATTGGAGATTTAAACTTTCTGAAGAGCATCTTAGTAAGAATTATCAAAAGGCTTTTCCAATAAACATATTTTCTGACCTAGAAAATTCACTCCTAAGAGCATCATTAATGATGTCTTCAAAGATTTCACCACAACAGTGTGGTAAAATCAAAACATTGTATATAAATGGTAAAAGTCTGGAAGAGACATAAATATGTCCAGAGCGGGGCCTGGTATAGTCTGTGTATTCAGGTGTGTCTATTCAAAAGTGTTTTATACAGTAGTTAAAATTAAAGCGGATGGATATTTAATGAAATGGACACACTACATACACTTTATATATGCAAATGGATGCATATACTTTAAATAGAAAAACAGAATCTACACCAACATGTTGGCAGTGGTTCACCTCTTGATTTGGAGATGACAGCTCAGTTGTTGTTTTTTTTCTTGTCTGTGTTTCCTAAATTTCTATAATGATTAAGTCTTTTTTCTTAAAGAGGGAGAAGAAATGTACTGTAATACAATCTTACGTTCTTGTTCCAAATGTAAATACAGTCCCAGTAAGGTTTGTGTCTTTTATACACAGACCTGGCTATGCAGATAAACATGGGGATGTATGAATACAATGGCAAGAGTGGCTACAGGCTGAAGCCGGAGTTCATGAGGAGACCTGACAAGCACTTTGATCCATTCACAGAAGGCATCGTGGATGGCATAGTGGCCAACACTTTATCTGTTAAGGTATGTTCACCCCATCACACAACGGTACCCAGCAGAAGTCTTCAACAGCACCTATTTTGTGTAAAGTAGTTTAGTCAGTAAGTGTTTACTTCCCAGTAAAGTCTTCACTTCCTTTGTATATTTTTAAAATTTAATTTAAAGACTGAATTCATATTAAAAGTTTTCAAAAGCTATATGCACAAGATGCCCCATTTTTTAATGGGCTAAAAATCAGATCCAAAATCAGTGAAGCAAGTTGCTGAGATTCACCATGGCTAGTCCTTTCTTTTGGTGCAAAGATCCTACAGAGAAATGTACCACTAAATTTGTGTGTGTGTGTGTGTGTGTGTGTGTGTGTGTGTGTGTGGACACTCAGTCGTGTCCACCTCTTTGCAAACCCATGGACTGTAGTCTGCTAGGCTCCTCTGTCTATGGGTTTCTCCAGGCAAGAATATGGAGAGGGGATTCCCTTCTCCAGGGGATCTTCCCAGCACAGGGATCAAACCCAGATCTCCTGCATTGCAGGTGGATTTTTTACTGTCTGAGCCACCAGGAAAGCCAAAACCACAAAAATTAGTGACTCATTGGAGAAATCTGGTCTTCCCTCCCACCGTCAGTTTTAGAAAAATAGCCATACTGAACAAAATTAGAGAAAATAAAGGTATTCTCTCAATAAATTATTAAAGACTGAATAAAAGTTCTCCAGTTACCATAGCATGTCTTTTGAAAATCTCTCAGAGTATTCAGGAATTTATAACACATAGTGAGTAATGATATTAAGGGCTTCCCTGGTGGCTTAAATATAAGAATCATATCATTAAACATACATCTGACCCTCAAAAAATTAATTGCAAATGATTTCTGCAGTCTTTGAAATTTATTTTACAGGAGATACAAGGTATTTTTTTTAGCTGTGAGAAAATATTTTTAATACTATAAATGGGAAATCATTTTTATAAAAAACTTTTTACATGAACCCTATAAGCCGTTGTTTGTTGTAGCTAAGTTTCATTTACTTTTTAAAAGTTCCATTTCTTTTCTGCTTAACTGGATAACTGAAGCACTAAGAACCTTTTTAATAAAGCATAAATGCAATTTTCCAGTTGACCCTAAACCAAAAGCATATAAAAAACTGTGTAAAAAAGTACTCTATATAGTCCATGAGGTTGCAAAGAGATATGACTTAGTGACTGAACAATGACAGCAACAATTTCACTAATTTATATCTATTCTAAGCTTGTTGAACCCATTTTTACTTTAAAATTTATGTCATTTACACCAGAGATTAAAAATAAAGTTGCACTGGAGTGTCTCTCAATGATATCATTTGAAATTATTTCACCCCATATATCTGCCAAGTGGAGTTGACAGAATTAGAGCTTCAAGATTATATTTAGTTTAGGAAATTGTTTTCAGCAAAGGATGTTTAATGCCTGTCAAGTTTGATTAGGATAGACTCAAGCATCACTCACGGATAAAAAGCTATTTTAGAATTTTTCTCAACTGTAGTTGTAGTCAGGTCAAACTGATAGTAATATTTTATCAAAATAATCTTTTGTCCTTGTTTGCCGATTCATCTCATTTTATATGTTTGCTTTGTTGTTTATTCTTTCTTGAAAATTCTACAGTGACAGTGTAAGTGCTTATAACAATCACATAGAGAAACTGGGGAAAACAGTTGAGTCCCAGACAGGTGTACACTGCTGCCCGAGTCCAAAGTGGAAACACTGCTCTAGAGATGTCAGTGTCCTCTGAATGGACAGGCCATGCCTCAGAGACCCTGCAGCAGAATCCTGCCTTCACCATGATGGCTGGAGCCAAAATGCAGCTCACATCAACCCAGTACTGCCTTTGTTTTGATCCCCTGACATAGACTTTATAATGCCGGAATGGACTTCTGAGCTCTGGTGGTCCATGATCCTATTTTACTGATGAGAACATTGAGGCTCAGTGTTATTAATTTAGTTAAGAAGTCTGTTTTTATAAAAATCTTAAGCATATTGTCACTACCCTGGGGGTCCAGTGGTTAAGACTCCACACACTGCCAATGCAGGGGGCGTGGGTTCAATCACTGGGTGGGGAACTAAGATCCACATGCTGGGCAGATAAAGGTAACAAAAGGAAAACAATGTATTCATTAAAAAAAAAATCTTAAGCACGCACCATCTTTGATGCATCTGAATTCCCAGCATGACTAACTTAACTTGGAAGTTTCAAACATGCTATAAAATGTCTGCTAAGTAGTTCTCATGTAGAACCTCAAAGGAAACAGAGATTGTTAATTGCAGGTCTCATGCACTCAGGCACAGAGACCATGATTCAGGAGAAATGCATATTCCCGGGGTAAATGCAAACAGCCTCTTCTTCATAACTCCCTAACTTGTGTGGCACCTCTGACCACATCAGCGTGCAGCTGCCTTTGGCCTCCCCAGTCTCCATGGCCATCCCCAGGCTGCCATTGTGTCCGTTTCCGGCCCAGCCATCATCTTGGTGATTCTGTCTCCTTTCACTGACTGGGGCTCAGAAAGTGAAGCTTTGTCGATCAGATAACACGAATCACTGAGTCCGTTCCACCAACACTTGCTTTCCACGTTTCCCTCTCTGTTGCTAGAGCAGAAGGACATCATGTCTGTCTCCACTAACTTTTATAACATCCAAGAACCCCTCTGATACTGAAGATTATTCACGTGTAGTTTTAAAATCTCATTTAATTCCACAATTATTAGCTTTATAGCTGTATAGCTATATCATTAGCTTTATAGCTAGGCAAAGGATACCACAATCATGTGGATGGTTAACCAGTGTGGTTAGGAGTGATGATAAACTGAGTTTAATAGTTTAAAATTGGTATTTGTTTTTAGTATTTTTATCATTATTGTGGCTTTTTATTAAAGTGTAACAACTTTGAGAATTGGAGTAGCATGGTGTTATGACTACTCTTTCAAGTTGAATTTTATGAACAGGAAGTTTTCTTTAATGCTAGACTTTCTATTATGCTATGAGTTAAATTTGTACTCTGAAGCAACCTTTTAATTTCATCTACAATCATGCTTCAACATCAGTCCTTCCAATGAACACCCAGGACTGATTTCCTTTAGGATGGACTGGTTGGATCTCATTGCAGTCCAAGTGACTCGCAAGAGTCTTCTCCAACACCACAGTTCAAAAGCATCAATTCTTCGGCACTCAGCTTTCTTTATAGTCCAACTCTCACATCCATACATGACTACTGGAAAAGCCATCACTTTGAATAGACGGACTTTTGTTGGCAAAGTAATGTCTCTGCTTTTCAATATGCTGTCTAGGTTGTTCATAACTTTTCTTCCAAGGAGTAAACATCTTTTAATTTCATTTAATTTTCATTTTAATTTTCAATTTAATTTTCATTTTGGAGCCCCCCAAAATAAAGTCTGCCACTGTTTCCCCATCTATTTGCCATGAAGTGATGGGAGCAGATGCCCTGATCTTTGTTTTCTGAATGTTGAGTTTTAAGCCAACTTTTTCACTCTCCTCTTTCACTTTCATCAAGAGGCTCTTTAGTTCTTCTTCACTTTCTGCCATAAGGGTGTTGTCATCTGCATATCTGAGGTTATTGGTATGTCTCCCAGCAATCTTGATTCCAGCTTGTGCTTCATCCAGCCCAGTGTTTCTCATGATATATTCTGCATATAAGTTAAATAAGCAGGGTGTCAATACACAGCCTTGACATACTCCTTTTCCTATTTGGAACCAGTCTGTTTTCCATGTCCAGTTCTAACCGTTGCTTCCTGACCTGCATACAGATTTCTCAAGAGGCAGGTCAGGTGGTCTGGACTCATGTTGAATGACTGAGGTTGAAGCTGAAATGCCAATACTTTGGCCAGCTGATGCGAAGAGCTGAGTCATTTGAAAAGACCCTGATTCTGGGAAAGATTGAAGGTGGGAGGAGAAGGGGACGACAGAGGATGAGATGGTTGGATGGCATCACCGACTCAATGGATGTGAATTTGAGTAAACTCTGGGAGTTGGTGATAGATAGGGAGGCCTGTCATACTGCAGTCCATGGGGTCACAAAGAGTCAGACACGACTGAGTGACTGAACTGAACTGAACTGAACAATCATGCTAAAATGAGAATTTTTTTCTCTTATAAAGTTTTTAAGTATTAGAAAAATCTTTATATTCAGTTGGCTCTAAAAATCAATTTTTAACTTTTAATAGATAGTATCTCTTGAATATAAAAGCCATAATCTCATCAAACTTTTCATGCTTGTTCATGTATTTCATCCTATACAACTTTGTCTTATTAATTAACTTCTAACGCTGGCATTTTCATTATTCTTCTACCAATTCTTTAACCAGAAAAGAAATAATATTTGTACTGTTGTTTCTGTTTTACTTTGATTATGGCTCAGCATTCATCATTAGCATTTATCTCTCCCTAAGGTTTTCTCTTGTATAATTTTTATTCATTTTTTAAGAGCTGTTTTTTTTTTATAACTTAAAAAACTTTCTAGATTATTTCAGGTCAGTTTCTGTCTGATAAGAAAGTCGGGACTTATGTGGAAGTGGATATGTTTGGTTTGCCTGTGGACACGAGGAGGAAGGCACTTAAGACCAAAACATCACAAGGAAATGCTGTAAATCCCATCTGGGAAGAAGAACCCATTGTATTCAAAAAGGTTGGTCTTGTGTCCTTCATGTCAGATGCTAATGCATCTTCTAGGTGTTTTATGGCTTCCATGTTGGCTCAGAGGGTAAAGCATCTGCCTGCAATGCGGGAGATGCGGGGTCAATCCCTGGGTTGGGAAGATCCCCTGGAGAAGGAAATGGCAACACACTCCAGTATTCTTGCCTGGAGAATCCCATGGACAGAGGAGCCTGGTGGGCTACAGTCCATGCAGTTGCAAAGAGTCAGACACAACTGAGCGACTTCAATTTCACTTTCAGGTGTTTTATAATGTAAAACAAATGAAAGGAGGAATTACTTATTATTTCATTTGGGAATTTACACATTAATAATACAATAGCATTTTCAAAACTATCTTGAAAACTATTCAAGATTTCTGTGAATTGCTTGTTTGGATTTTTCATAATTGTGAATCAATTAATTCTGTTACTAAGTCGCTTCAGTCGTGTCCGACTCTTAGCGACCCCATGGACTGCAGCCATAACTCATAACCTCTCATAATACAAGTGATAAATGATATGTCTTCACTATAATTCGAATGAAGTAGAGTGGTAAATAGGGACTAATATGGTAGCCAAGAGAAAGGAAGTCCATGCTTCCTTTAAAAACCATAGCAATTAAACTCCCTAGAATCTCCAATCACTGGCGTTGGTCTTTGTAACTTGTCTGGATTCTATCTGATAGAGTTAATACCTTTTACATTCGACTTGTCTTTCCCTCTGCTTTCACCAAAAAACAGATCTTTTTCACACATGGTTTACACAAAAAGGAAGACAGTAAGTGCTTTCTATTGAAAGTAGAGTGCACTCTTAACATACCCTTGCTTTTATCTGGCCAAAATATCTACAAAGGCAGTCTTCTGCAAATAGCGTATCTTATCTGTGGTAAAGATCTCTGCACTCCAGCTTTTTTTTTCCTTATGTTAATTGGATCTAGTAGTACTGTCTACTTCATAGCATTCTTATATGAGTATTTCCTAATATACTGAAAACATTTAGAAAATATGTAACCCATTGAAAGTAGTCAATAAATGTTAGTTTTCTTATGTTCCAAAGAAATACATATTTAAGGTATAATTGGCCTCATTGTCTTGACATGTTGATATAGTATAGCTGCATATGTACCCCAGATGTTTTACACTGAGAGAAAAAAAAGTAAGCAATTACTTATGGTTAATTTGGAAATTTACAAATAAGCAATCTCATTTTGAAAGCTATCCTTGAAAGCTACTTTATAATTTTTGCTCCAAAGTACAAAGGTAGTTTGCTTTGAAAATATAATAATGAATGCTCAAACTGTGATTAAACCATTAACTCACAGTATTTAAACATAGAACTTTTGTCACCTCTGCCTTGAGAATGTTCATGTCAAAAGAAAATGGTCTATTTGTTGAACAGATTCCTCATTTTGAAAAGGTGATAAAACACAGATGAAGCCATCTCTCTGGTAATCCTTCTCTTTTTGAAAATCCAAATTATAGAGCAGTAACTTAACTTTTTATCAATTTGCTCAGCAGAAACTTCTACTTAGATTTGGAAAAGTAGGGCCTATTTGAATAATACCTTTCTAATTATTTCTGGAAGTCACTCCTTCTTGTAACTACATGTATTCTTAATGTCCTATAGGTGGTTCTTCCTTCTCTAGCCTGTCTGAGGATAGCAGTTTATGAAGAAGGTGGTAAATTTATTGGTCACCGAATCTTGCCAGTACAAGCAATTCGGCCAGGTATGGATAGCATTGTGGGAAACTTTTTATCAAAGTTGTAAAGAAAATCATCACTGCCTTGTAAGATTGTTAAAGAATGATGTAGGAAGCTATTTGTTGTTTTGGTGTTTGGCTCTGTAAAGAGGATTATAAGATTATATATTTAAATCTGGCAATATTATGTTTTTGTGATGTGCTATGACTACTAGGCCAGTCAACTCTTGCCAGATATTATGTGTAACAAACTACCTGAAAATTAAGAGGCTTATGAAATGTGTTTCATCTTCGTGCTCACAGGTCTGTGGAGTAGTAGGGCTTGGTGAGCTTTGGCTGGGCAGCTGTGCTTGAGGCTGTGGGCTTGCCACACCTGCCCGCTCAGGGGCTCCAGGTGAAGAAGCAGTTGCACTCACAGGCATCTCACAGCAGCCCAGTGGGATGCTTGCCTTTATCTGCAAGTGCATGCAAAGCCTCTGCTTGTGCACGCCACTAACATCCCATTGTCCAAACAGGCTAACCCACAAACCGAGAAATCATATACAGCGCACAAATTTGGACTGATAATTCAATCTATGACACATGGTTTCAAATTCTCTCTTGTGGGGAAAAAGATGGTTGGAAAGAGGGAAAAAAAATCAGAGTCAACATTATTTTCCTGTTTGATGAGAAAAATAATACCCTATCACTCAAGACCACATGAATAAAATGAGGTAGAAATAATCTGTTGGTCATCCAGAGTCACCTGAAATAAACACTTCGATCAAACAGATGTTTGGCATTATAAGAAACAGTGATGCACGGTATCATATCACCCCCCAGGCTATCACTATATCTGTCTGAGGAACGAGAGGAACCAGCCTCTGATGCTGCCAGCACTCTTTGTCTACATAGAGGTGAAAGACTACGTCCCAGACACATATGCAGGTAAACCACCTAACTCGAAAGGATATCTCCATCTGGGGTCATCCATATTTTTGTGACTCAGTGGAAAGAAAACTGGGTTAAACAAAGGCAAGAGAGTGTGACCTCAGAATCACTTCTATGTTTGTATGCATGTTTAGAAGTAAATTCATTAAACCTTTGTTAATAAGTTTTAGTTTAAATCTCAATAAATTATTGAGCATTTTTATCCATTGGTAATATTATTCTTATGAGTTCAGTACTTTCTAACCAATGCTGTCTGATACTACACAGTCTATGTAGGTCTGTGCAATGAATTTGCCTTCAGCCAGTTTTAGAATCCTGACCCTTTCTATGAGTGAAATCTTCAACTATAGAAATTAACTTATGATGATGTCAGCCTGGAATCATACATTTAAATGTTTGTGGTGCCAAGTGACCTGGGTGGGAGACCCTGGGAAGTGGTGGAGACTATGGCAGTCTTGGCTCGTGTGTCCAATCTGCAGACGGCAGCCATAACTCACTCCAGCTAGACAGCATCATGTTCAAATGATACCCATACTGCCAAATCATTGGGTTGTTTCAACAGTCTGTAAAGCAGCCTTTTTATGTGAAATGTCTCCCCTGTGAATCACCAGTGTGGGAAACAGGACAAATTTGTAGGCCGTTGCTGAACTGGATGAAATGCTCAAATAAAACTTAAAAATTTGGAGCACTGACACATCCTGAGTTGGAGCTTGTCCAATTTGACTCAGAGATGACCTTTGAGGTCTCTCTTCCTGAGGTTCAGCCAGTGGACTCTTGTCCATTTCCAAAGTGTTGGCTGGATAAGTAGATAGTTATATGGGTAGATTGGAAGATGGATGGTGAATCAGTAAATGGATGGATGAGTAGAGAGATGATGAACAAATACAAGGATGGATGGGTGATTGGATAGATGGATGGAGGGATGGATGGATGGATGGATAGATTGATGGATGGTGGATAATCAGTATCTCCAGGACCATCAGTCTAAGATGTCTCTTTCCTATCTAGACGTGATTGAAGCTTTGTCAAATCCAATCCGATATGTGAATCTGATGGAGCAGAGAGCTAAACAACTGGCTGCTTTGACACTGGAAGATGAAGAAGAAGTAAAGAAAGAGGTGAGAGGGTTAGTCTAGACTTGTGCATGGCCTGAAACATGATTTCTGAATCTTGTTGCTAGCTTTTCCTACATAGCATCATCCTCAGGAAAGGAAAAGAGAACACTGGAAAACCACTTTGATGGAATTCAGCCTCATCTTCCAAAACATCTAGAAGATACCCTGAATTTCTCATATTTCATTCTCTTTTGGCATTCTGTGGCCACCACCAGCATCTTCTTTTATGACCACATTGAATAGTAGACATCTGGCTGTTTCAGGGGAAATTTTCTAGATCATTTCATGTTGATTAAAGGTGAATAAAACATGTAGAAAAGAAGATGATCATCAAGTCATTTGTTGTTTTCTTTTGTCCTTAAAGTACAGAGTTTTCAAAGTGCTTTTGTGATTTCTTACATTATACAAGGTACTTAACACAGTACCTGTTGTGTAGTGTAGGCCACAAAGTGGCTACTATTATTACTGTATATTTATGTATTACAATACATATTCCCAAAATAATTGGTGTCTTATTCTAAATTAGATGTCACAATGCAAAGAATAATTAAGAAAGGGTCTAGAAATATTAGAAGTGAAGTTTAAAAATATGAAGCTTCCTCAAAATCCTGGTGAATTTGCCTTGTCATCTGATTGATTTAGTGATTAATCAACAAGTTGAATAAAATCTTTGACATGCGTTTATTTAAAAAAAATGAAGTTTCCATGTAGACTGAAATAGAATTTCATGATTATTGGGGATGACATAAACATTACAAATAGTGATTAAAAAAATAGCTATTTTCATACTTCATTTGAATATTCAAGGATAGATTCAGGAAAACAGATGAGAAAATTGGAGAATTATCAGTATAGAAAAAAAACCTTGAAAATTGTCTGGGTGACTTTAATAGCAAGTCCACTCAAGTTGACATTATTAAGTTATCTTTTTCTTATTCCAAAAGAATAAAGAAACCTAGGCTTATCATAGAAAATTTTTTAAATGAAAATGAGAAAAGAAAATCCCAAATACATCACCTTTAATCCAAACACCCAAGTCACACAGAGATAACACTGTACATGCGTGCGTACATGTGTGCTAAATCACTTCAGTCATGTCTGAGTCTATGCGACCGTATGGACTGTAGACCTGCCAGGTTCCTCTGTCCGTGAGATTCTCCACAAGACTACTGGAGTGGGTAGCCATTTCCTCCTTTTAGGGATCTTCCCAACCCAGGGATTGAACCCACATCTCTTATGTCTCGTGCATTGGCAGGTGAGTTCTTTACCACTAGTGGCACCTGGGACACCCAACACTCTACATATGGGATATACGTACAGCTAGTCTTTTTATGCACAATTAGTACTTTTTCATAAAATGGGATAATATTCACAATCTGTGTTTTAATCTTTTATTTTGACTTAATGCAAGCAGTTCCATGTCATAAAATATTCTATGACATCACTTTTAATAACTTTGTAATCTTTTGTTACATAGCTGCACATTATCTTTCTAATCTCAATTATTGGATATTTTGAATACTTCAGTATTTTAAGTAGATTGTCAGTAGACATTATATAAGTATGTTTTTGAGCACATTTATGATTATTTCTTTGTTTTTTGTATAGAATTTTAGAAATTTGTGATCTAAGGTGTTGAGTTAATTGAACGTGAGAGAAGATGAAATGAAAAAAAGAAAAATATGGTTTTCCCTCATAGTCCAGTGGTTGAGAATCTGCCTTGCTATGCAGGGGACATAGGTTTTATCTCTGGTCAGAAAACTAAGATCCCACATGTCTGAGGAGCAATTAAGCCTGTGTGCCACAACTAGAGAGTCCATGCCCTGCAGTGAAAGATCTTGCATGTCACAATGAAGATCCTGCATGTCAAATAAATATTCTTTAAAAAAAGAAAAATATTTAATGTCAAAGTAAAATTTTTCAGGGTCTTATTTACACTGCAAGCATCATATCCTATAGAACCAATAAATATATCATCCTGCTTGATGAAATTTAAAGTTAGCCTGGAAAGTTTCATAAATAGTATTTTTCTTTGTATGCAGAAAATGGAGTTACAGGGAAATTTTACACTCCTGGAAAAGTACACTTAACAGTAGACATGAATTACTTCCAGCATTGTGTCTTTGGCACCTATGCCTAGCATGTTTCTTTTTCATATGTTAAAGACCACTTAGCTTTTGTTTGTCTGTAACGCTTTTCCTTGTTTACCTGTGGCCAAGTCATGTTGTTGCTGTGCTGTGCTGAGTCACTCAGTTGTGTCCAACTCTTTGCAACCCCATGGACTGTAGCCTGCCCAGCTCCTCTGGGCATAGGGATTCCCCAGGCAAGAATACTGGAGTAGTTTGTTAGGCCCTCCTCCAGGGCATCTTCCCAACCCAGGGATCAAATCCAGGTCTCCCACATGCCCAAGAATACTGGAGTGGGTTGCCTATCTCTTTTCCAAGGATCTTCATGATCCAGCAATCGAACCACCGTCTCTTGCTTTGCAGGCAGATTCTTTACCAGCTGAGCTACCAGGAAAGCCCAATTCATATTGATGTATGGCAAAAACCATCACAATATTGTAAAGTAATTATCCCGGAATTAAAGTAAATGAATAAATAAATTTTAAAAAGAACTGGAAAAAAAAACACACCACTTTAAAAATAAAAATACCACCACTTAGGCCTACTGCTTGAATTTGAGCTGTTAGTCTGAGCACTCACTGCTTGGCTGGTCCAGCGGGCACAGAGAGAGCAAGCATGTCATCCATGCTCTAAGCAGATTTTGCTGGTACCATCCCAGAGTTCCTTTTCAGGGCTGCTGCAGGGTGGGCTGCAAACAGCTCACAACCACATACTTCTCCAGAAGACTGGCCTAGGCTGATAGGAACTGCCTTGCTTGGGGATGTCTAGCAGATTCTTCTTTCAAGGAGGTGACTGTGTCCTGCGACTGTCAGATACAGAATAACAGCGCAGGTCTCTGGATGGGCACCTTCAAGGCTGCGGTTCAAGCTCCCATGCCCCACCCCACCCCCCAGGCTAGAGATTAGGCTGAGGCCAGACTCCAGCTGAAACCACTCTAGGTTTATCTTGTTTCCCTGTCTTAGCCCGTTTTCCTCACTTCCTGACAGTTCTGAGAACATCCTCTCAATTTATCATGCAGACAAGAATCCCAAGTACAATTCTGCTAATAAGGAATCCCACAATGCTAAATAGCTGCTATTTTAGAATTAAAGATTGAATGCCCTTTCTGTTTTTTTTGTTTGTTTGTTTGGGAACTAGAATTTAAATGTTTGACAATAGTTACATCTTTAATTTCAGTGTTTCTTCAAAGATAATAGTGTTTTTTTTTCTTTGTAATGGCCTTTGAAAAGATTAAGACTAGAGATTTCAGTGAGTTTCTTGTTTTGCTCATATAAACACCAATATGAAATTAAAGGCTCTCCTTAGATATCAGTGGGTTTCCAAGCTCTGAAACTCTTTTCTCTTCTACTGACTTTAACTTAATAACATATTTCACAAAATATAATTCAGGGTAAAGATAATCTATGGAGATATAATTAGATTACTATTAAGCCTTCTCTAATTAGAAAACAAGAATCTCATTAATCAACTGGATGCAATTTATTTTCTAAAAAAGATAGGTGTTCAAGGAAAGCATTTTTAGATAAAATTATGTTTGCTACTATTTCAAAACAATACTTTCTGTATCATCAACTTGTACCTAGATGTTGGCCATGTTCTCCAAGGTTAAGTAAGCTCTGACTTGAAGAGATTTCAAGACACCACCAATTTCAGCTTATATAATATAGCAATAGAGGCAAAAAGCCTTGTAATGAAACAGAGACCGTTTCTCTAATGAGAAAAATGTCACTTTGCGGAGTAGGAGACCTAAGGCCTTTGAGACTGCAGATCTTTTACATCACTGTCCTTTCAAAGCACCAGATATCACATATCAAAAAGCTATTTGGATTCCACGTATATGTGATATCATGTGATATTTGTTTTTCTCTGTCTTCTTTAACTAAAAAGTGATACAAGGGAAATTATTCACAAAACAGAAATAAACCCACAGATGCTGAAAACAAACTTAGGGTCACCAAAGGGGAAGGGAGGAGGGGCAGATCAGGAGTTTGGGGTCAACAGACACACACGGCTGCATAGAGTGGGTGAGCAGCCACAGAGCACATGGGACTGTGACAGCCTGCAGTGGGAAAATCTGAAACATATATATGTGTGTATATAACTGAGTACTTTACTGTAAACCTGAAACCAACACAACATTGTAAACCAACTATACTTTAATTCTTTGAAAAAATAAAAGCTATTTGTGGAGAATGTATGATATGATCAATCATATCATAATGGATATGAAAATACAGAAGTAGAATTTTAGGTCAACATTACTTTTGCTTCTCCTCTAAAATGATGATCATAAGGATTTTCAGTAAATGTGTAATGTTGGTTACACTCAAATAATATTTGAACATTTTCAGTTTTAGAAATGATTTTAGAAGCACTGAATCACATAAATTTCACATTGAATCGCATAAATTTTACATGGTCTTGTAGAGAAAATACATTTATTTTTTTCCTCTGAAATGCCTAAACCCTTAACTGACCTCATTTCTAAAGCTCAAGAAGAAAAATTATTTGCCCTTACCATGTAATGCTGGGAGAAAAATGGCATTTCACACCTTTGAACACCAGCATGCCCTTTATCTTGTCTTGCAATAATGTAAGTTTGTTTGAATGAGGCCACTGAAAAGAAGTAACTATGGTTTTCTCAAAAGAAAATTCTATCTAGGACATGGCAGACACTGGAGACACTATTTTAGCAGCAAAGACTTTTTTAGTATAATCCTTTTAACTTGGTAGTTATAAAGGTCATTTCTATTTGAAAATGAAAGACATCATTGAACTACAGAATATTCCCAGAATTGTAATAGTCTAATAAATCATCTTCATAAGTAACTGGCAAACCAAAAAAGTAGGAAATTTTAAAATTCCCTCATGCTTTGA